GAAAACGAAGATAACCGACAGAAGCGCTCGTTTCACGTGGACGTCTTAAACGAGAGGCTGTTTATTTTTGTCAGTGCCTCTCGTGGTCGGTGAAAAATGTAAAAATAAAATCGGTTATGAAATCGTCGTGCTATGAATGAATGGAGATTAACAAACATATTCTCATGAATCGTGGATGAATGGATTATATTTGATGTACGAATTTATTTAGTGCCTTGATTTAGCTGTGCAATTTTAATTATTTTTTTTTTATTTTAATATTTTTTGTATGGATTGAAAATGATGAATGGTACAAAATTATCAGTTGTAGCGTCGATTGTTTTATTAACTGAAGTTACTATTATTTTTTGTAAATAAATTTTTAAGTAAAATTGAAAAAAGACACAGAGTTAATGTATATTTAAAAATTTTAATAATTTACGATGAAGATTGTGTATTTTGAAACTTGAGTAATATTTATGTAGGTGGTTGATTTATCACAATTTTATTTTTTTTATTTATTTGTAATCATTGACATTTTCATATGTGGGTGAAAGTTGAACTTCCATATGAATGCATCGTTCGTATAACTAGGTTCAGCCGTTTATTTAGTGCATATTATTAATAATAAACTTTCAGTAACTTCAGCATGTGCATCAGGCAAAATGGAGAAAGTTACATATGTGTCTAACATTCTCATACATCATCCACACGAGTATACATACTTGAACTTGTGGATGACAAATATAACAAACTACCTTGAAAATAATATTGTTCGAAATAGAGGATATTAACTAATGAACCATTCAGTAACTTCAGCATGTTCATCAGTCAAAGTGTATCAAGTTACATGTGTGGCTAAAATTCTCATACATTATCCATATGAGTGTACACACTTGAACTTGTAGATGACAAATATAACGAAGTACCATGAAAATAATATTGTTCGAAATAGAGAATACTAACTAATGAATCCTTCAGCAACTTCAACATGTTCATCAGGCAAAGTGTATCAAATTACATATGTGGCTAAAATTTTCATACATCATCCATATGAGTATACACACTTGAACTTGTAGATGACAAATATAACGAAGTACCATGAAAATAATATTGTTCGAAATAGAGGATACTAACTAATGAATCCTTCAGCAACTTCAACATGTTCATCAAACAAACTCTACAAAATTACATATGTGTCTAAAATTCTCATACATCATCCACATGAGTATATACTTGATCTTGTGGACGACAAATATAACAAATTACCTTGCACATAACATTGTTCGAAATAAAGGATACTAACTAATGAATCTCTCAGTATCTTCAGCATGATCATCAGACAAATTGTACAAAATTACATATGTGTCTAAAATTCTCATACATCATCCACATGAGTATACACACCTGAACACTCCTATCCAATAAAAGTAGTAAAATACCACAAAAATAATATGGTTCCGAGAATGACTAAAAAATGCGACGTCCAATGGTTTCGGCGTTAATTGGTTAATCGGCAGCGGAACGTGTTAATTGGGCAATTGCTAAAGCAAAACGCGTCATCGCCTAATTGCAGGCCCGACTTTTCTGTAATCGAGCAAGCCAACTGGCTCTGTTACCGCGTCCATGTCAAAGTTAAAGCAACTCTGGCCCTTTAATAGGGCGGTGCGAACCTGTGCAGGATGTAATTTAATGAGGATTACGTTTTTTTAAAAGCGACTCTGGGAAATTCAAATCCACCCAGCTGCGGAGGACAGAAGACCGCTGAATTGCACGCGACAAAGGTTTGCCCGGCTGCCTGTTGGTTTTAAGCAGAAACTTTTATAATAGCTGTAAAGGGGACGGAATATTCTCAAAGACGTTCAACCGTTACAACAACGTGAATTATTTTATGTTCTTGGAGAACTTATTTTGTTAAGTATCTCTGTCTTTTATGATACAATCCGTTGCAAAATTTTAAGAAACTCTAGCAGCGTAGAATTAAGTTTACAGCGTGGAAGTAGAAACTTCTGTAAAATCTGAGTCACTAAATTTTTAGATTCTTGGATTTTTAAGTTGGATTGTTAGATTCGTAGATAACTGGATCGATGGATTACTGGATTAGTACGTTAGGATATTACTAAGTTACTAGGTTCTTAGATTACTGGATTGAGAGATTAATAGATTATTATATTACTGAACTATTGAATTACTAGATTCCTAGATTGCTAGATTTCCAAACCCCTAGATTTCCAAATCCCTAGTTTTCCAAATCCCTAGTTTTCCAAATCCCTAGTTTTCCAAATCCCTAGATTTCCAAATCCCTAGATTTTTAGATCTCTAGATTTCCAGAACCCTAGATTTCCAGATCCCTAGATTTAAACATCTCTAGGTTTCCAGATTCCTAAATTTAAAAGTCTCTAGATTTCTAGATTCCCAGATTTAAAAACCCCTAGATTTGCATATCCTTAGATTTCTAGATTACCAGATTCTTAGATTTCTAAATCGTAGATTTCTAGATTCCTACATTCATAGATTTCTAGATCCTTAAATTCGCAAATTTTCAGATTCACAAATTTCTACATTTTCAAGTTTCTAAATTTCCAAACTCCCACGTCCCCAATATTCCAGATTTCTAAACTCCTACATTCCTGTATGTCTAAATTACTTTCTTTCCACATTTTCAAATTCTTATAATACAATGTCCCTAGATTTCCATATTCCTACATTTTTAAATTTGTATGTTTCCCAATTTCTAGATTTCTTGATTTCTATAATACCAGATTCATAAATTCGTTGGCTACCGAAGTTCGAAAATTTGAACAAAAACACTCCACTCACGGTATTAATAAACCAATTTGCTGTTTTCTATAAATATCCCTAATCATATCAAAGCGAAAACATGTCGCGAAAATGACGTATTACGCAGAAATTTCCTCGGATCGTTAAGGATATTATTATAACGACATCACGTCGTCGCAAAAGTTGTCCGTATCGAACTCCTGTCTGTCTTGTTCGCCGATATTACATTACACAATTTATTTCCGCGAGATACACGGCGTCAAAAATCCTGACGAAATTTAATCATCGAGCGGCAACAACTTTTTGATGCCGCTAAATGCGAGACAGTTAATTGGCAATTGGATTAACGTGGCGTAGAATTCAATATTCATACGCGTGCCCAAATTCGCTCGTTTTCCACGTGGCGGTTATTAAACAATTATTTTTTACGCTGTACGACTTTTGCCCTGCTTAATTGCCTGTTCGTGCTCGACGTGCGTTCAATTCAACTTGTATTTCTTTCCTCTTTTTTTCCGAGGTTAACTTCTGTCGACGCCATTTGTTCGCAATTTACGGATTTATATATTTGTGGACTCCCGAATGTTCTTGTTTCAAATTTTGCAGTAGATCAATTTCTCAAATTCTAAAATTTTGAAAAGGATCAAGTTATGAAATTCTCAAGTTTAGGGAGCGTTGAGTTATCGACGTTTGAAATCTTCAAATTTTCAAGTTATCAAGTCTTCAAATTTTTGAATTTTCAAGTTTTCAAGGCTCCAAGCTTTTAAGATTTCAAGTTTTTAAGTATTCAAATTTTCAAGTTTTTAATTATTCAATTACTCAGTTAATCAATTATTCAAGTATTCAAGTAGTCAAGTAGTCAAGTATTCAAGTATTCAAGTATTCAAGTATTCAAGTATTCAAGTATTCAAGTATTCAAGTATTCAAGTATTCAAGTATTCAAGTATTCAAGTATTCAAGTATTCAAGTATTCAAGTATTCAAGTATTCAAGTATTCAAGTATTCAAGTATTCAAGTATTCAAGTATTCAAGTATTCAAGTATTCAAGTATTCAAGTATTCAAGTATTCAAGTATTCAAGTATTCAAGTATTCAAGTATTCAAGTATTCAAGTATTCAAGTATTCAAGTATTCAAGTATTCAAGTATTCAAGTATTCAAGTATTCAAGTATTCAAGTATTCAAGTATTCAAGTATTCAAGTATTCAAGTATTCAAGTATTCAAGTATTCAAGTATTCAAGTATTCAAGTATTCAAGTATTCAAGTATTCAAGTATTCAAGTATTCAAGTATTCAAGTATTCAAGTATTCAAGTATTCAAGTATTCAAGTATTCAAGTATTCAAGTATTCAAGTATTCAAGTATTCAAGTATTCAAGTATTCAAGTATTCAAGTATTCAAGTATTCAAGTATTCAAGTATTCAAGTATTCAAGTATTCAAGTATTCAAGTATTCAAGTATTCAAGTATTCAAGTATTCAAGTATTCAAGTATTCAAGTATTCAAGTATTCAAGTATTCAAGTATTCAAGTATTCAAGTATTCAAGTATTCAAGTATTCAAGTATTCAAGTATTCAAGTATTCAAGTATTCAAGTATTCAAGTATTCAAGTATTCAAGTATTCAAGTATTCAAGTATTCAAGTATTCAAGTATTCAAGTATTCAAGTATTCAAGTATTCAAGTATTCAAGTATTCAAGTATTCAAGTATTCAAGTATTCAAGTATTCAAGTATTCAAGTATTAACATTCGAGTATTCAATAATTCAATTATTCAATTATTCAACAATTCAATAATTCAATAATTCAATAATCCAAGTATTCAAATATTAAATTGGTCAAGTATTCAAGTATTCAAATATTAAATTAGTCAAGTATTCAAGTATTCAATTATTCAAGTCCTGAATTAATAAAGTACTCAAGTGTTCAAATTACTCATATTTCAATTTACTATATAGTCAAGCATGTACCAACATATAATAAGCATGTATAAGCTCGTGGCAACTCATCGCGTAACTGCACAACACAATTTAAACTATACAAATCACTTTAATTCATAACTGTACAGCTAGTACCGATTTAACGCACAACTATACAACTCGTACCAATTTAACATACAACTATACAACACATGGCGATCTAAAATGTGTGACTTGCGAGTTTTCCTCGAGGAGGATTGAACTCATAGCGGCGCGTATTTAGGCTGATCCGTTGCTAAATTTAAATCAGTTGGTGTCGGAGCGACCGAACGACGTCTGCCACGACGCTCCCATCGACTCTGACGTTCTTTTAATCGTCTCGGTGTTCGAGAAAATTCTCAGGGTCAGAGTTTTCCATTCCGTTCGAATTAAACGCGGTGTGGCTCGGTAAATAGCGACGTGAATCGGTACGCGCGATCGCCGTTTCAATACTGCACCTTCCGGTTGCTGTGAAACCTTCGGATTTCGGCAACGCGGAACGTGACGCCAAATTCTGGAATGTTTAGAATGTTTTGTCGCGAAGAAACGTCGCTGTAACGAAAGTACGAGATTCTCTTCAAATATTTTCTTTCGCAAAGGTACTTCTGAATATTTCACTCAATTTATTTTTGCTTGGAAGATGCACACAAATCCGAAAAATGACGTCGATTTGAATTCTTGAAACGTGTAATGCATGTGGGATCAGCGAAGTACATTTTAGTGTATTCGACGGAAATTTTTGTCCTATATTTTGATGTATTTGATGTAAATTTTTGCTGTATATTTTAATGCAGTCGATGTAAATTTTAATGCACTCGATGTAAATTTTTGTCGTACCTTTTAATGTATTTGATGGAAATTATGAAGTCTGAAGTGGGACTGAAAATGCAATCGAAATTAATTCTTTATGCCGGAGGCATTTTTGCTATTGGACATATTTGAAATATTTTAGTTGAAAAATTGATAAATTCTTTACACATATGTATGACGCTACTTAGTTAGAAAATACCGATTTTAAATTGTTGTTTAAACGAAATGGTGAGTGTGAGTTACATTTCGAATGCAGAGGGTTAATTTAAAAAAAAGCAATTTTCATTTAAATTTACGTTATAATAATTTTTGTGAAATTGTTTAACAGTTGAAGCTATTTAGACGGAATTTCCGTTAGACAATAATGTAAATAATAAATGTGAACTGTCAAAGTTTATCACGTTCAATCCCGAGGCAACGTGTGCAGAGGTCGCCACCTCTCTGCAATGTGTAATATTACACAACTCGTTTTAAAAGTGTTTACTGCTTTCTATACGCCTCAAAAACCATTTCAGAATTAAAATTCGTTTTTTCATTTGTTGTATCTTTTCTGTTATTTCTTTAGTATTTGTCAATTTGGTGTTATGAATTAATTACTCGTTAAATAGTTTCACAAAATTAAAAAATTGGAGGAAAACTGCACTTTCTTGCTTGAATACATTTTATTAAGCTCGCGTTAAAAATATTTCTATACATTCAAGTCAGTTTTCTGAAAGATGAAATTCTGTATTCACCATTATTTAATTGTTATTAAATTATATTAAATTAAAATGACATGTTTGTTGAAATATCAAAAAAATTATTGAAACATGAACAATTGTCTAAGATACTGAAACATGAAAAATAATGAAAATGAAAAACTACAGTGTTAAAATATGAAAATTTATCTAAAATGATAAAATATGAAAGATTAACTACAATGTTAAAATGCGAAGAAGTAGAACAGTAAAATACGAAAAATTCATTAGAATATTAAAATATGAAAAATTAAGTTTAAAATTAATATATGAAAAATACACTAAAATATTCAAATATGAAAAATTAATTAGAATGTTGCAGTACGAAGAATTAACTAGCATATCGAAAGAGTGAAAAGTGAGCTGAAATATTAAAATTTGAAGGCAGAGATAAAATTTCAATTTAAATAAAATAGATTTGGAACAGAAACGAGAATTGTGCCTGCATATTGTGACATGTCACGTTGCACACATTGAAATGCAGAAAGCAAACAAAACTTCGAAATCATGCTTTTTTAATGTTAATCATTTATCGGACGTATCAGCCCTCAGACGGATACAGATCTCACGAAAACAAATCTCTATCTGCGAAAACGATCGGAATTTGGTTAAACAAAAATAGCGCATCCGTTGAAAAGTTGAAACCCGAAAAAAAGCAGACTGCATCGATTGTCTGATCGTGGGTAGGTGTAAAATTTCATACGTACGACAAAAGCACCGTACAAATTTAAATCGACGACAATTTACGAAAACCACGCTCGCCGTCAATCAAGCAGAAAAATTGTCACGTTCTTTCTTCCGCGATAAAAGCGGCGAATATTCGGTGGTTTCTGAAAGCTCTCGACGCTGGCGTGAAAATTAGAAAAGAAATCAAAAAAAAAAGGTGAACGGAAGAGGGACATAAAGAGAGAGGGAGAGAAAAAAGAGGGTGAAAATTTAGCAGGGAAATTGTGCTGGAAACTTGTCTGCATTCGAAGAGCATCAGGACACCAAACTGTCGATAGCTTCGAATTTTTACTTGTATGTCTGTCGACGAAAACGAGAACACCGGTATGTTTTTAACAACGCCAACGCTCGAGTTCTGCTTTTTAACGAACGTGATCCACGCAATTCTCTGGGAATAACCGAGCCCGTTCATCGTATTCGTTCAACGGAGCTTCTCCGTTCATTCGACTCGGCAATTATGTCGGGTTCAGATGCAATTAAGCTCCGGTTCAGACCCGTGAGTAGCGCATCCAGAAAGATACTATTACCGATAAATTTATGGCCTATCGATAGCTTCGAAGGGAGCCAGTTAAGGATCAGATAAATGTAAATTGGCGACGAAGGGACTTCGATCTCCTAATAACGTATATATTGATCAAAGAACCGACGCGACCCGTCGACTCGATAATAAGGAAAGCTCGATGCAGGTCTTCCAGCTATTTCCAGATTTAATCGTCCTTGGCGTGCACTGTAGCGGCTCGCTTTTGTATGGAAAATCGGAATGAAATTGCAGGAAACAGTCAATTGAGTTTACAGAATTTTTTAATTTAACTTTGGAAGTTTAGACATTTAAAAGTCCAAGATTTTGGGACTTTAGGATTTTAGGATTTTAGGATTTTAGGATTTTAGGATTTTAGGATTTTAGGATTTTAGGATTTTAGGATTTTAGGATTTTGGGATTTTAGGATTTTGGGATTTTGGGATTTTAGGATTTTAGGATTTTAGGATTTTAGGATTTTAGGATTTTAGGATTTTAGGATTTTAGGATTTTAGGATTTTAGGATTTTAGGATTTTAGGATTTTAGGATTTTAGGATTTTAGGATTTTAGGATTTTAGGATTTTAGGATTTTAGGATTTTAGGATTTTAGGATTTTAGGATTTTAGGATTTTAGGATTTTAGGATTTTAGGATTTTAGGATTTTAGGATTTTAGGATTTTAGGATTTTAGGATTTTAGGATTTTAGGATTTTAGGATTTTAGGATTTTAGGATTTTAGGATTTTAGGATTTTAGGATTTTAGGATTTTAGGATTGAGATTTTCGCAGCTTGGAATTTTGAGGGTATATACAACTTAGGATGTTTGGAATATTGAAACTGTAGAATTATAAAAGTATAGGATTACAGGGCTTCAGAACTTTGGAACTTAAGGATTTAAGGACGTTAGAACTTAGTGATCTCAAAGTTCTGTACTGTTGACACTTTTAGAAATTTCATTCTTCATTTTGGAATATTTTAATTTGACTTTAATTCTTCCAAACTAACATTTTTGTATTTGTATTCAAACTCTAAAAACCTCAAACTTTTTGAACCCATTTTGAAACTTCCACTCAATTTGTATCAAATCCAAAAAATATCCTAATCCAATGTGCCTATAAAATTTGAACAAATATTCAGAACTTCACCGCAAATGAATTTTTAAAAAAATTCCCAAAAATCGTTAAAATTGGTAAAATAGCCAAATCTGCCAACGCTCTAAAAATAACTCTCGTCGTAAAAAATGATCATTTTCAAACATGACCCCAAAAAATGAAGGTAGCACAGCCTTTTCAAGTTGAAGAGTGCAGGCTCTCCTGCAGTGGCCATACATTGCTCCTTTTTATACCATCCATTTCGTTTTTCTATATTTACGATACAGGAAATATTACGATATTCATAATCCGAAGCACGAATTGAAAATTGTAGGAAGTTGCTCGACGGACCGATATTCAATTTCTATAGGGTAGCCTCACGAGAGTGGTTAGAGTGGCGTTTCTCGAATCGAGACCAATGGCCGAATTCGTTTCCACCGTGTTTAAATCGAGTCCAATCCAGCTCGCAAGCATTTCGCGGTGGGTGAACCGAGGGTGCGCGCAAAAAGGAGAGTCGATTTTAGAATGGTGCTTGGATCGGCCACCTGTTCTCCATCGGGCTTGTTCCCATGACTCGAACCGCTTTCGCCTTCTTTTTTCTTCGCAATCTACTCGGGATCTTGATTTTTCCAGGCTCTTTCAGTTTGTGTACCGGGTGAACCACATAACCTGCAATTATTCCGTTACCAACGCACCAATGGTTTCTGTTCGAGAATGATGGAAATAGTCGAGAAGGGTAATGAATTTTCGGTGTGCAATGTTTTCAATGAAATATCGACGGGAAATAATATTGCTTTATTAATTAGTACAATTCGTTGCAACAGGTAATTTTAGGATCCTTTAAAGTTAAGGAGGTTAGATCCTTTGAAGTTGAGGAGGTTAGAGGTGATCCATTCTTCGTTAAATGATTTCATTTGTTTCGGATGGTTTGTTATTTTATATAGAAATTGTAGAACAGAGTATTTTGTTTGAATTAGTTTATGCAAGTATTTTGCTAAATTAAAAAGAAAATTAGGCACAATGATCTAAATATACAAAATACTTTGGCTGTGTGCTCATGATTTTGATGTTCAAATTCTTATATCACTTAATTATTTTCTATTTAATGTACCAAATTCTTGCAGTATTTTTATATGCGAGGAAACTATTTTATTAGCAGTTAAAACTGTTTTATTAATCATTAATATTATTAATCATTTCTATTGCTATCTTTTTCTAGTTTTCATCTTTAATTTTACCAAGGTACATATGCTTTTGATATTAAATATATTTAATGCACCTAGACCCGTAATTAAATATGCTTGGACCCGTATTCATAAACTGCGTAATTAGCATGCTAGAACAAAGAAGAAAAAACTAAAGGACGAATGCAAAATTTAATTAGGGTGATGCGGCAAGATTAAAATTTAATGCTCTTAAAATCTTCAGCAAACATCGAAAGGAAATACTTCATAACGTGAATAATGTTAAAAATGAATAATTCGTAATATGAAAATGAATGAAATACAGATTAATTCGTAAAATGAAGGAAAAATAAAATAATTCATAATACGAAATTAAAGAAAAAATAAAATATTTGGTAACACGAAAATGAAGAAAAAGTAAAATAATTCATAATACGAAAATGAAGAAGAAATAAAATAATTCAGAATACGAAAATGAAGAGAAGGTAAAATAATTCAGAATACGAAAATGAAGAAAAATAAAATAATTCATAATACGAAGATGAAGAAAAACTAAAATAATTCGTAACACAAAAATGAAGAAAAAATAAAATAATTCATAATACGAAAATGAAGAAGAAATAAAATAATTCATAATACAAAAATGAAGGAAAAATAAAATAGTTCATAATACGAAAGTGAAGAAAAACTAAAATAATTCGTAACACAAAAATGAAGAAAAAATAAAATAATTCATAATACGAAAATGAAGAAGAAATAAAATAATTCCTAACACGAAAATGAAGAAAAAATAAAATAATTCATAGTACAAAAATTAAAAGAAAGTAGAATAATTAATGAAACGAAAATTGAGAACAAATACAATAATTCATAAAACGAAAATTAAAAAAGCAATATAAAAATTAATAATTCAAAGAAATGAAACTCGAAGTATCTGTCCACATCGATATTTTATCTCCGTGAAAGAACATTCGACGCAAACGCTTTTATTGAACATTGCGAGGATAACGTTGCAAAATGCGTGGCTCAACAATGTGCTACACAAACTCGCGATAGAGAGTAACTTTCACGATATATCGATGATCACCGCCATAAAATTGTTTCACAGGTTTTAACATCGCAAATTGCAACTTCTACGATCATTCTGCATTGTTCAAAAGAGTCGTTTGTTCCAGGAACAGTGCGTAACAGCGGATATCGATTACAAAATTCCATGCACAAGGCACATAGTGTTCTTGAAATCTGATTCCGCGCACGTTGTCAATATGTTATTGAAAAAACTGCAGTGTCAAAGGTTCGAGAGGAGCTTTCGTAACGTCGACAAAAAATGGCTGACTGAACTTCCTAGAAAATTCATATGAAATGCAGAATGTTTTTATCCTCGTGCATTGTTGATGACATAGGTTTCATATCGCAGTTTCACTTCAAACACATTTTCTTTTATTTAGAATTGATATGTGCAACTTTATGAATATTTTGAAACTCTGTAAATAGTTTAGTCCAACATAACCTACAAATAATAGTTTATTACCAACATAACCTATAAATTATTTGTTTCAAGTCTTATAGTTCTTGTTTTTATTCGAAACAAAATTATTTTAGGAGGTAATTTATTTCGATTATTGAAATTATATCGTGGTAAAATATGATTGAATAACAGGTTAATTAAATTGTAATTCTCTTCTGTTATTTAATATCGCAAGAAACCTTACTATTTCTGTATATGAATTTTAAAATTAAATAGCTGACGATCAAATTAATTTAACAAAAGTAGGATCAAAGTGGAATAAAATTGGCGTCAGTTTCTCAGAAATGAACAGCAAACAACGGAAAATGGACACAAAGCATCCGGATGGAAGCACAGTTTATAAAGGGCGTCAATTTTCAAAAGTTTTCAGTCATCCTCCATTTCTCGACAACCCTTTTGCCACAAAATACAAAGCAAAAGAACGTAAAAATAGTTCTTTGATGCCAATTACAGACAGGCTTCTAAAATGGACCTTTCAGATTTGTTTACAATCAAAATTTACCGCGCATTCTTCGACTCACATCGAACGATTTTCTTTCGCGCAAATAAACGTGTACAAACACGTACCTCGTTAAACCATAACGAGGAAATAAAATGGCGAGCATTATTTCTGGTTATTCCACGTTTTGGTTGCAAT